TTTCTATGGTCCACATGCAGTTTCTATGGTTCACATGCAGTTTCTATGGTTCACATGCAGTTTCTATAGTCCCCATGGAGTTTCTATGGTCCACATGAAGTTTCTATAGTCAGTTCAGTTTATTTAAATAGCTCCAAGTCACAACAGAAGTCATCTCAGGGCACTGAACAGAAACATTCATATACATAAAAAAAGTGAATTAGTAAAAGTTATCTGTCTAAGGAAGCAGCAGATTGTGTTGAATCTTTACTTTGTCACAGTCTCCAATCCTGAGCAAGAACAAAGGAGACAGTGGAAAGAAAAAACTGCCTTTTAACAGGAAGAAACCTCCATCAGAACCAGGCTCAGGACGAGCGGCCGTCTGCTTCGACCGGCTAATGTTCTTGTCACTGAATATTAAATTAAGAGTTCATGTTTTTGTTGTTTTTATATTTTAATACCGTCAGGTGTTCGTGTGCTCTTTTAGTCACTTCATGATGGTCTCTATAGTTGAATCATTTTTACAGATTATTGCTGTTAAATGATCGTGTTTGGTTTTGTTTGCTGCTTTTTGTTTATGTATGGTGTAAATCACTTCCTGTTACACTTTATTTAGTAAGTACCTTAAAGAAGTTTTGTTGGATAAAAGCTCTGCTGCGCATTCTACATTTAGAGACTCTAGGAACCTCAGGTAAACCTGCACGTGTGACGACCAGGACCTTCTGACACTTTAAACATAACTTCAGATTTTAACACGGTGTCTGTTTGAGTCTTTGTCTTCCTGTCCTATTAAGAGTGCTGTGGTTACCATGGGCCTCCTGAGCCAGTGGCATCACTTTGACACTTATTTTTAATCTCTTTTTGTTTTCTACTCCTCTTCTACATTAAAATAGATGATCTGTGTTCAAATTTCAAGCAGATACAACAATATCTTCAGAAATGTTTCTTTTTTTTCCTGGTCTTTGTTTTGGATTTGAGTCCGGGTGCTGGGGCCAGTTTGGGTTTACAGTGTGAACACCAGATACCGGTTTGAGTCCAGGTTTTTGTGGCTCTATTATTCCGCTCCCTCTTATTTATTTATTTTTAGTCCCTATTTGTTGGTTGCAGTGACTGACAGGGCAATTTGAAGATGTCTGGCTTTTCATCATCACTTATGGTGTCAGTGGCTTAGAATAAAAATCCTTTTTATAGGATTGATTTATTTTTCTTTTTTCCACTCTCAGCCAGTCTGCCAACACTCTGAGTGTGAATCTTATGCTGAGAACTTCAAGTGGGATTTTGGTGAGGAACTCGTCACAGTCGGAGACAACCGATCATTCCTCTCCTTTTTTGTTCTTACAGAATAATGTTTACACTATCACCCGAAACAGGATCGTCATTGGTTATTCTCTAGCACTGTGCTTCTTTTATCACCCACAAAAATGTGAAGGCAAAAAAAAAACCGCACCCAAAAAAAAAAAAGTTTTTGCCCATGCCTACGATTGTGTGTGTGTCTGTTAGCAAAATATCTTATGAAGCACTGGGCACATTTTTTTGGAGACGAGCCAGTGCAAAATGATTGACTCCGCTACTCATTATTTCACTCATAAATGTTTTTACCCGAGTCACATTTAATGATTTTTAACACATTTGTTGTGATAGTACCTTCACAACACCTGCTCTGAGTTTCAGTTTTATTTATTCAAAAAGTGTCAAGTCGCATCAGAAGTCATTTCAGGGCGCTAGACAGAAACATTTACACACAATAAAAAAGCCAAGTAATAAAAAAAATCTATCTAAGGAAGAAGCAGATTGTGTTAAATCTTGACTTCGTCTCAGTCTCCCATCCTGAGCGAGCACAAAGGAGACAGTGGAAAGAAAAAACTCACTTTTAACAGGAAGAAACCTCCAGCAGAACCAGCTCAGGACGAGCGGCCGTCTGCTTCAGCCGGCTGAGTTTGAGAGGACAGGAAGTAGAAACGAACAGAATGACAGGTCCACGTGTGCGTTCTATAGCCCAGGTGTACTGTCTATAGCCCAGGTGTGCTTACTATAGTCCAGGTGTACTTTCTATAGCCCAGGTGTGCTTACTATAGTCCAGGTGTACTGTCTATAGCCCAGGTGTACTTACTATAGTCCAGGTGTGCTTTATATAGTCCAGGTGTACTTACTATAGTCCAGGTGTACTGTCTATAGCCCAGGTGTACTTACTATAGTCCAGTTGTACTTTCTATAGCCCAGGTGTGCTTACTATAGTCCAGGTGTACTTTCTATAGTCCAGGTGTGCTTTCTATAGTCCAGGTGTACTTATTATAGTCCAGGTGTACTTTATATAGTCCAGGTGTACTTTCTATAGTCCAGGCGTGCTTACTATAGTCCAGGTGTACTTACTATAGCCCAGGTGTACTTATTATAGTCCAGGTG